GAGCGAGCGAAGACAATGCATGCCTTAGATGGCTACCGTGACTGGCAAAGGGGCATATACTATTAATTAAAATTCTTCTTCTGCTTTAACGATCTGAGTGCTATACCAATTCTAATTTTAACACGGTAAGCGTGTTTCAAAGTCCAAGGACAGCTGTCTTACGAGTAAATTTGCTGTTTCCATTACTCGATGTATCGTCGTTGCTGTTTAAAACAAACTTAATCTGTATCTTCATACAGGTTACTGCTAAAGGGAAGGAGACAGAAGACGAACTCATTATCAACATAATCAGTCTTCATCGCTGTGACAGATAAGCCATCAATTATAGAAGATAACGGAATCCGATATTGTTGAAATTCATTACAATAACAAGCACCAATAACAAAAGACGTTTGTTTGTGTACTGTGGGACCCTGTATACGTATCGCTATCTATACTTATCACACTTGGGAACTGTAATATTAAGTACGAATTAAAAAGCACCGTAAAGAACTTTCGAATGCGTCGATCTACGCAGTACAGTGAATCTAGCAGGAATTAAAGCTTTCAAACATAACCTCAGAATTTCATTTAATCGCCACGGGTCATATAAAATTTGTGGGTATGTTTATGGTAATAATTATACTAATTTCCATAGTCATAACTGCAAACAAACGGAGAGCTAATGTAATTTCCTTGAAAATGGGGAGGGACTAAGGAAAACCACCAAAAACGTGAGCCGGAATAGCAAGTCTGCCCGCCAAAATTCGAACTACGTGCTGTCAGATCACGTCTAGAATAACATCAGTTTGCTAACATCTTTGCCGTTATGATAAAGTGAGTCAGAATGTGTAGACCTACGTATCACAGTCAAACAGAGCTTTGGAAACTTTCCAGCATCAAATGTACCAGAGATCGATTCTTCAGAAAAGGCGAAAGACTAAAGAGACCTCCAACTGCTCGCTTTTTTGAGTACCACAAATGCTTCAAAGTGGCATATTCACAAGCTTATTATAATAACACTTACTTCCCCGCCCGCCAGCGAAAGCTGAAAGGTATCCTTTTTCTCACCAGTCTCAGTAAAGTCGCTAGCCTAAACGACTGCTGTTCTAAAAAGTTTATGGATATTTCTCCCAGGCCTATATCACGTGCAGAATCGTTCTCTTACCAATCCAGTTTCCTATCCAGTGGGCACCAGAGGCTCTTTATTCTACGTTATGAGGATGAAAACGCAAGGCGAGCTCATTCCTTCGTCTATAACGGTGGAGCCTTACCTCCATAACTATATGCCTTCAGAGCAAGTATTTAGATAAGTATTGTTCTTACATGCACACTTAAACCAACATACAGCCGTAGAAGAACAGCAAGACACAACGTAATTACTTCTATGGCGTACACCCTTTCTTGATAAGCGGACATTCGTTAAACTTAGTTCCGCTTTCATGACATTGCTGTTCTGGTCCTTATCCTGGATGCAGTTCACTCCCTCATATCGCATTTCCTTAAGATCAATGTCAATAGAGCCCTCCCGTCTATTCCTAGGTCTCCCAAGTTGTCTGTACTCTGAGGAATTTCCGATTAAATTTTATGTGTATTTCTCACCTTTCATATGCGTGCTACAAGTTCCACCCATTTCATCCTCCTTGATTGCTCTAATATCTGAGGACAAATAAGAAGTATCACGCTCTTCGTTATGAAAGTTACTCCTGTTGCTTCCTGTCTCTTACGTCCAGACATTGTCTTCAATACTCTGCTATCGAACACGTGCAATCTATCTTCTTCCCTTATGATGAGGCATAAAGCTTCGCACGTATATGAACAGCTGTGAAATGTATAATTTCCGTCTTCACGTTTTCAGATAGGAGGTAGAAATGTTAATGAGTGTGGACTGAATGAAACAGGCATTGTCAGAAAGTAACATGCTCCAAGTTATTTTAATTTTGCCACATTTTTAAATAATTATGAGTTACTATATTGTCCCTCGTTACAGTGACGGGGCAAGAACGTAAACAGACTAAACGCAAGGTTAATATTTACCTGCACTGAGAAGGTGTACGTTTATTAATTATTGACCTTCGGCTTGGTCTGAGTGTTGACTAGCATGACAAATCTCGTGTTTCATTATAGGTACGCCACAAAAAGTTCCTCTCTCAAACAAAATAGTGTTCCTTGACGTCAGTCAAGCTTTTGACAAGGTATGGCATGTGGGATTATGCTACAAATTAAAACAAGCACTACCACATCAAATGTATGCCACACTGCGATCCTATCTCACACAAAGGTACTACCTCATAAAACAGCAGGAAGTATACACAGACCTGTATCCAATATTATCTGGTGTACCCCAAGGCAGCGTGTTGGGGCCTGTCTTATACTTGCTCTATACATCTGATCTCCCTACAACTCAACAAACAACCACAGCCACGTTTGCTGACGACACAGTTATCATGGCGTCACACAGCAACCCCCTCATCGCTTCCTTGCACCTACAAAATCACCTTAATCACATCCAACATTGGCTCAACAAATGGCGCATGAAGGCCAACGAAGATAAGTCTACTCATGTAACATTTACCATGAAACATGACAACTGCCCTTCAGTACAACTCAATAATTCTCAAATTCCACAAGCAGACGACGCCAAATATCTTGGCATGCACCTGGACAAAAGACTCACATGGCAAAAACATATCAAGACCAAACGCACACAGCTCAGAACTAAATTCCACAAGATGTATTGGATGCTGGGACGCCATTCGGAGCTCTCAACAGAGAACAAGATCCTATTATATAAAACTATACTAAAACCGATATGGACCTATGGCATACCCTTATGGGGTACCGCTAGCAACTCCAACATCGAAATTCTTCAACGATTCCAAAATATGGTACTGCGTGTACTAGTTAACGCACCATGGTACGTACCAAACTTCGTCCTACACAAGGACCTGGGAATTCCAACAGTACGCGAGGAAATCACGCTCTCCAGTAAAAAATATCAGGCACGCCTCCGGAAGCACCCGAATTCCTTAGCGACGCACCTCTACGATGAAGAAGAAGTCAGGAGGCTTCACAGATTTAAACCGTCAGAACTGTTAACCAGATTTGCTATCTAATTTTGTAAAACAATTAACTAGTTGATTATAATTAGTTAAATCACATATAGAACGAGTTCATTGGAACACGTTCTTCATGTTAAATTACTTTTATACTCATCATAACTAGTACTTATTATCCAAAATAGCTGGATAGATTGTATAATAAAGTGGAGAAATAAAAAAAAAACAAACAAACAAAACAAAGAATGTTTCGTTAACACATACCGTGGACTGTATCGATTACGTACACAGACGGCGTGAAATATTCGCTGTTTGCGTGTTGCCTGCCAATTGAATGTGATATCAAAGCTTGGTTGTTTCCAGATACACGACCTTTAGAGAAGAGGCTTATGGCGTTCCTGAATCTGTTATTACTAAGTTACTCGAGACAGCTCTGCAGTCCTTTTTGTTTAACCTTGGCCGCTTTTTCAGTTTCTTAATCCTACACACAGTCGGTAGGACTTCTTGTAGGGGAGATCAGCCCGAAGCAAGGCCGCTACTTACACACAGAAAAAAGCAAACAGACATCCATGACTTCAGTGGGATTTGAACCCACGATCCTGCGTTCAAGCGAGCTAAGACAGTTCATGCCTCAGACCGCGCGGCCACTGTGATCCGCAACCCAATCGTCTACTCTCCGTTTATACACATATCTACGGGGGCACGCGGTAGCGTAGTTGGTTGAGGCACTACGCTACAAGCCGGAAGGTCGCGAGGTTGAATTCCGATGTTACTGGATTTTTCAATAGACCTAATCCTTCCAGCTGCATTATGGCCCTGGGGTCGACTCAGCCTCTAACACAAATGAGTACCAGGAATCCTCCTGGGGCGTAAAGAGCGGCCGGCGCGTAAGGCTGACAAGCTTACCGCCTTCTGTGAGCCGAATGTCTAGATAATGAGGGAACCTCGACCTCTCGCACCCCTATGGGCCTCCACGGCCTGTTACAGGGATACCTTTATCTTTTTTTTTTAATTATCTTTTTACACTTGTCTACATGTTTCTCAAGTCGGTGTTACGTAGTTTTACAACCAATGAATTCTATTGTACAGTACCCAGTATTGTAGTTTACCCAACGCGTCCTACATAGAGTACCCCGTACCCCTTACGAATACAAACCAAACGACGATAGTTGCCGGGCTTACTCGGTTTTTGGACATCGTCTGTCAACCGGTATTCTAAAGAACACTAAGGGAAACTGGATCTGTTTCCGTCTCCAGGTGAAGGGATGGGAGACACCTACTTTGTTGGGTCCAGCCCAGTGATTGGGGTTAGCTCTTTCTAATGGACTCAGTAGAGTAGGTGTCTCCCACCACTTCGCCTGGGGACGGAAACATCCAGTTTCCTAAACGTTGTGTTCTATTGAATACTGGACGATCGAAAAGTCCAAAAAAAAAAAAAAAAAACAGTAATCCCGTATGACATACGCCATTGTCAGAACCATTCAGAATCCACTTGATAACTGTTGTTCTGTACCAAGACACTAAGGCTGCAGGGGTATGAATGTACATTCAATCGGATCTTGCGGTAGTCCGAATCTCCAAGCAAGAAATCCAACCAGATGCCTAACAAGCGACCACAGTTGAAGAGAACAGCTTCTCGTTTATCCGTTTAGGATGATATGAGCAGTCTTAATATTAAAGTTATTCTATGAAATGCAGGAAACCACGGAAGGAAGCGTATTAAGCAACTTAACGTAGTTGAGAAGGAAATCTCGGGGGGGGGGGTTCCCGTTGTTACAAATACGCTGATATCTGCTTATGTTGAAAGCCCATACACATTCGTTAAATTTAATTCAGAAAGTTGGATGCAGGCGGAAGCTAGTTCCCGGAGAGTCCGGTATGTAGCAAAGGAGTGCCAGGAGGCCTCCAATGCACCCCCCCTCACACTTCAGTAGTCACACTGCGCGAGACCCTGTGGAAGTTACGTTTCGGTGCCATAGCAAACACGCCACAACGTAAACAAGTTTGTGGGCGTGGGACATCTCCGCCAACAGCAGCGAGAGGAGGGAACAGCCAAAGCTGCGTTATTCCTCGCGAAAGGCCACCACGGCGTATAAGTAACGAAAGCTGGTGCGAGTGTGTTTACGTGCTCTCATAAACGTGCGCATAACAACAAATATAATAATACATACACGACGTAGGACTTCGTCGAACAATTCTTTGCGAGGTATTCTACAAACTCCACGCTTGCAGTCTACCACCTGCGCATTTCATGTCCCCGACAGTTCATATAACAAGTGAACAATATACACGGGAACAACATAGCTGAGAACATCGCCAGATTCTGCTGTAAACAGAACATAAAAGACTAGGAAGCGTGATGGATATGATTTTTAACTATCTGCCAGATGTCTTCTCCTACCAGTCGCTGAGACATCACAACTACGAGAATTCGTGGCTCAGCGAAACGACAAATCAAGGTGAGTTGACACAATTCTGGAATACGTTAAGTACACTGAGACACCACTCCGAGCTGCTAAGGTATTCAGGACACATGGTGTGCTCGCGTACTAAAGTAAAACTCCTGAACTTCCTACTTTCACACACAATTTGAACACTTCATATGAAATAACGAGGAGAGTAGATCGATTCCACTGAGTAGGTTAGACTTCTGTCGACATTCACTTATTGCACTATAGTAATTACATCGAATAGCGGCAACGCTTAGACCTGTATTCGGGAGGTCCTCTGTTCGAATGTCGGCCGAGACACCGGCTATCCTGAGATATTTCAAGGTTTTCCTCAATCCTTCCAGCTAAATGCAGGGACAGTATCTCAATTATGCCATGACAGGTTAATTTTAAATTCTTTCCAATTCATCATTCACCAATCATCATACCAAGCAATGCTATAGAGTCTGAGATACTGACAGAGACATAAAATAAATAAATAAAAAAAACAGTAATTTCAGACAGCTGTCTCATGTAGTAGCTTAGTTATGTCATGTTACCCAGGATGCCAAATAGGATGGAACCTATACCCAGTAAAACTCTTTGGTATTTTACGTTAGTCATTAATGAAACTTTACACTTTGAAAACATTGTGTTAAAAGACCCCTGCCATCACCATTGCTGAACATAATCCGTAAATAGGGCGGCTTGGTGGGTTATTTTACATTACAAGTATTTTCAGTCGTGATGCAGAGGCCGGCACAAAACTGTCACAAAATAACAGACAACTACCACACACAGGGTACCGCATTTAAAGACAGTGGTTACACGAATTCACTCCCTTCCATAAAAAAAAAAAAAAAGTCAGGGGGACGCGGTAGCGTAGTTGGTTGAGGCACTATGCTACAAGCCCGAAGGTCGCGGATTCAAGGCCCGATGAGGTAACTGGATGTTTCAATTGACCTAATCCTTCCAGCCATACTATGGCCCTGGGATCGACTTGGCCTCTAACAGAAATGAGTATCAGGAATTTTCCTGGGGGTAAAGGGCGGCCGGCCCGTAAGGCTGACAACGTTACTGCCATCTCTGAGCCGATTGTCTAGAGAAAATGTGCGATCCTCGACGTCTCACAACCCTCTGGGCCTCCACGGCCTATCAGAGGGATAGCTTTACCTTTTCCTTACCATAAAAAAGCCAATGCGATAACATATTTCTTTCTCGATATTTACTTGAAAATGGGACCAATTTATGAACAGTGGGGCGACGCTGGACTGACATGTTTGTTTGTGATGTCATATAATAAAGTGTAACGTTTTAGTAGGAAACCCCGAAGAGAACACACCACATAAGTGACCGGGGGCGAAGATACGACAATGGTGATGTTTGACGTTGTTATGATGTTGACTACGAAGAAATACTATCCCCTGGCGTCCAATGCCGTGTAGTCTGCTAGAAGATTGCCGACATTAGGAGGAACGTACTGCCTCCATCTTCAAGAGTCCAAGAATAAGCTGGACAAGCAAGCAGCAACCCGAGTACGTCCAGCCTATATCAACACTACTCTCTACGCTCGGGCTATTCTGCTGTCTGCTTGCTTGGCTAATTCTCCGACCCTGAAGATGAAGGCAGTACGTTCCTCTGAAACGTCGGCAAACTTTTACCAGACTACACGGTGTCATCCAAGGAAACAGTATTCTATATATAAGGATAATATTAGAATGGATTTTAAAGAAGCATAGCATGAGGTTGTGGAATGGATCCATCTAGCTCAGGATAGGATCGAGTGGCAGGTTCTTGTAAAAATGGCAAAAACCTTCGAGGTCCAAAAACGCTTAGAAGTTCTTGGCTATCTGATAATTATCAGCTTCCCAAAGACACTGAATCATGAAGTTACGGCGTCCGTATACAATTCTTTCCTGCTGCGGTCGTAAACTGGCGACCAATAAGAATTTTCATACAAGTATTATGTTTTTGGACATTATCTATCGTCTTGTCTATTTTCTAAAAACCGTCCTGCTTCTTTAAAAAAAAACACGACGTTTTGGAGACTTGATTCTGTCCCCGTCCTGAGGTAACAACTACTCAGTTGGGCCCAATAGACAGAGCTAGCCCCTATCACCGGAGAGGAGACAAGACAATGGATAATGTCCAAAAACATGATACTTGTAGCAATATACATCGTCACAAACTTTAAGAATTTTAATTCCCGGACTTGCATGTAAGCACTAACCTTTCCTACAATAATGAGAGCGATAAGTAGAAACAGCTAGGCGAAGTCCACGAAATTAATCATGCCTTGTTTCTGTAAACAGCAGTTGCTTATTTGTCTTATTCCAAGATAAAAATGTTTTGCTATTTCCAAGGTTCCCGTCACAAGAATCGCGACGGAGCTTATGCACAGGCCTGTTTCACACGCATATTTGCAGGCTACTGATAACGATAGTTACGACTGTTAAAACTGAGCGTCATAAATATGACACTTTAGATAAACTCTTCATTAAGAAGCTTAATCTAATCTACAGTTCTGTCAACGCCTAACAGGGGGGAAAGTGTACAATGATTGACCTTTCTGACATTATCCAGCGTCCCATTTTTATTGAAAACAATGTTTCAGAGGCTGGACTATGTATCCGTCCTCAAGTAAAAAGCTCTGCAGGTGGACTCAAACGATAGAGCTAGTCCCTATCTCCAGATACCAGAAGTCGGTCGGTTGGCTGAATTGTAACGGGCGTTTCGGGTTCCGAGGGACTCATGACCCATACTCCCTGCTCCGGACACCAGAAGCAACAGAAAGCAAACATAACAGAATCCATATGCGGGAGTTAGAGCAAATCTTTTAAAAAGCAATCCAGTGGATGAGGCTAGCTTTTTTCTAAGGGACCCAACAGAATAGATGTTTTCCCTCACCTGAGGACGGAAACAGATCCAGTTTCCGAAACGTCGTGTTTTTTCTTAGTTATCTTAAAAACCAGGACGATGGATAAGGTCCGAAAACCCAATATCTCTGTGTGTTATACACCATCGTCAGAATCCTATAGTAACTACAAGCAATATATACTATATATATNTAGATATGACAGAGACATATAAATGCAACAAATGCAGATAAAACATTTCCAACAAACCAATGAGGATCTATCTGTCTGTCTGCCTACTTACCTACCTACAGCCCTTGTGGACCTTGGCCGCTTCTTCAGCTTCTTAATCTATACAGTCGATAGGACTCCCTGGATGGGGTATCAGACCGTCTCAAGGCCGCTGTCTACACACAGGACAACACAAACAAAAAATAAACGCACACAGACATCCATGTCTCGAGTGGGGTTCGAACCCACGGTCCCAGTGTTCGAGCAGGCGAAGATGGTTCATGCCTTAGACAGCACGGCCACTGTAATCGGCAACAATGAGGACCTAACAGCAAATAAACCAATACTAAATAAATGAGACGCCTGTACGGTACCGACATAAAGCACGGAAAATCCCCACATAATCCTGAAATGGACGGAGTTGTGATCCGTTAACTTCCTCTTCAACGACGGGAGGTCCAGATGGGAATGATGTGGAAGCTAGGTTGATTCATCGAACGAGCTACCAGAAACGTGTGGGCTGATTCCTTGTACTTCCTGTGGGTAATGTTAGGTTCAATCTGTAAATTCCTGGTTCCAGCATATTCTGTGGCTTTCTTCTTATGCATATTGGGGTAATTTTGGTTTTTCGAGCAGACCTTGCGTCAGATTATATTTGCGCTTCTTAATGCGTATTTCCGACAGTTTACCTATTCAGCAGATGTAATATCTACCACAATCACATGGAGTACTGCAAACACCTTGCTTCGTCCGCTGGGCATATCTAACAGGCTCAGTGTATGTTCGGTTTTGAAAATGGTTCTAATATTGAAGCGGTCCTCAATGTATCGGATTTTTTTTCCTTCGGGGAATACCCCTGACATGTGGGATGACAGTGCCATGATTCAGTCTAACTGAAGGATGGTTGCTTGTCTATGGCTTCATAATTAAATCAATGAAATTGTGTGGGTATTCATTAAGTATCACATCATGTTTTATTTCTCTATTTCCTTGATGAAATCTTTCCGATCCTGACATTTGACCCTCTGACCAAGCTACGAACGACTCCTCTTTTCATTTGATATGGGTGATCAGACTTTAATGTAAATAACGCCGAGCACAGGTTCGCATCTGGTTGGTGAACAAGTCTACTGGCTGAATGTCTCATTATACTGCGAACTTTATTATCCGAGGCATTGCAGTTAGATATTTTGTTAGCGGCCTCCGTAGTCTAGAGGTAACGTTCCCACCTCATGACTCGTAGTACGCGGGTTCAAACCCGGCGGAGGTCGTCGAATTTTTAAGGGCGGAAAAATTCAGTGAACAAGTCCTCCGGGAGAGACTTTAAGCCGTGTGTCCCGTGTCGTAGCTTTACGGCACGTAAAAGAACCTCATATCTCCTAAGGAGGTCACTGAGCCAAATTCAGGGACGTTTCTCGCCCAACAGTAGTCTCTAACGCCTCTGATAGATGGGGGAAGCATTATAGAGACCGCCAAGCCAGTGAGGCCGAACTCGCTGGCTCGGTCGGGACTGATGGTACGCACCAATATCGGTAGGGTATAGAGACTGGTAGAATATCATAGAGGGAAGCACAATGGACCAATACTGGTCTAAGTGCATGGGGAAACCCACCCTCTCCAATAACTAACTAACTAACTAACTAGATATTTTGTTTACATTCGACAGACACTTGTACCAATCAGTGTACTAACACTTCAAAATTGGATCCCGATGTTCTTAAAGCCAGCCCCAGCTTCCAGCCCTTCAGTTTTATCGCCAAACCTTGTTCTTTACCAGAATACTCCTCATCCACGTCCTAGGTCTTTGCCTCAAGTTCCATGACATGAAACACGTTTGACAGCATATCCCCACAACCTCTCTACAGTCAGAAAACAAAATCGCAGAACTGTCTTAATACAACGTCCCTAAACAACCTATCCAAGTCTGGGAATGTTTAGCATTTG